AGCCAGTGAGCGGGAACCGGTCTGTATGTGGGATCCGAACCCTCGGTGGGAGCACCGCTGCGCTCCCAAGCGGCGCACTGTAGCAGTGCGCCACCGGGCCGGCCCCTGAAATTTTTTTAATTAAAAAACTCTTGGGCCGGCCCGGTGGCGCACTGCTACAGTGCGCCGCTTGGGAGCGCAGCGGTGCTCCCGCCGAGGGTTCGGATCCCACATACAGACCGGTTCCCGCTCACTGGCTGAGCGAGGTTCGGGCGCAGCACCGAGGGTTGCGATCCATTGCCGGACATGAAAAAAGACAAAAAGGAAAAACAAACAAACAAACAAAAAAAAACCTCTTTTCTCTGAATCATGTAAGTTATATTCATTTACACAAGGATTAAAAAGGTATTTCAGGCACTTTAATGCCAACAAGCATGGTTTCCCAAGAGAAGACAGATAGACAACTAAATTTGGACAAATTCTTGAAATACCTCCTAAGAAGCCATGTAAATTTGGGGAAAAATAATGGGAGGTGGGATAATATTAAATTTAGCTCTATACTATATATAGCATCTTAATGATATTCTTGCCCAATTTTTTTCACTTCTAATGGTTTCATCTCAACCTACACCCCTTTAGAGTCTGATATCCTGGATCCTCCAAAAAGCCTAGAAATGTGTCAACTACAGAGTAATAAAGAGGTGTTAACTTGAAATCACTTACTTAGACATGTTCTGGGCCTTCTCGATAAATTTCATTACCTAAAAGAAAAAGACACCAATTATAACAGGACCCAATTTCAACACAAAAATCACAGGGCCCTCTCCAGGGTGGCATGCCTGACAGGCACCATCACCTACTGAATGTCTTCTATGTTCTCAATCTTAGGACACCAACAAATAAACTCACTGAACTGAGGAAGCACATCAGCAGCACTGCAACTACATCCTGGGGCACAATGCAAGGACCTGAGAAGCTGAAGACTTAACCAGTCACTGTCAAGTCATATCTCTTGGTACTCTGGTAAAATGTTAATGGTCTGTCTCATGGAGTGACATCAGAGCAAAAAACTAGTGATTATAAAGCACTCTTATGGAAGTAGGTGACAGAGAAAACTTAAAGGAAGACAAATATTTATCATAAGTAAAAAGCCCTATTATCTTTCCATTGTATGCCTGCTAGCCCATCCTACTCCCTTTGTCCCCCATCCCATTCTCAGGGTTAACACCACAAGCCAATAATAGGTCAAGAAAAGAACCTAGGTCTCTTGGATTTTTGTTTATTGGCTGTTGCAAATATTAAATGTGAAATGTCTCACAACACCGATCATCTTCTCATAGTTTACTTCTCTGTCTATAAAAATGCCTACTTATATTCTATATTTATGTTCAAGTTTGCTGCCCTTCTTTTCCAACATGATCAAGCTAAGGCACTTAAAGGTCATAGGTTATTACTGAGCCATGTCTACAAATACAAAGACAGACATACCTAGGGCTGGCCTGTTAGTTCAGTTGGTTAGAGTGCAGTGCTATAACACCAAGGTCAAGGGTTCAGATCCCCTACTGGCCAGCCGCCAAAAAAACAACAGACATACCTGATCAAATCTGGTAGCAAAGAGATTGAGTGAGGTCACTATGCCACCATTGGGCCCAAGTCCATATCTAGACACTAAGTTGAGGACTCAAATTGCTTATAGATTAGAGTATAAAGTTCATGTCTAGAATATCACTCACATAAACAGCATTATGACATCAGTGTTCCATTAATGGATATAGGCCACCTAATCCTCGACTACACAGAACCTTAACTTCCCAGGGAAACATTCACTATCAAGGTTTATTATTTTAAGGATGACTGGGCAAATTGAAGAAAGCAAAGGAACCAAAATGTTATAGACAGATGCATCAGGCAATGAATCTGCAGGCGTTAGCCAGTAAGATCATCTATATAATACTCCTTACTCTTATCCTCGCTAATCAAACAGTCTGCTGATTATAACTAGAATTCCTACTTAGACTTACTTACAGGGAGAGTACACATTCCACATAGGAATGTATTAAGAATTAATCCAACTAAAGATACTCATTTCTGAGTTTCCCAGTGTGAAGAGGTAGTAACCAATGGATGTATCTTCCAAGTCAATACTATCTTGTGGGACCCAGGCAACTGTTAGCTAGCCTCTCATTCACTCTGCTCTCTCATTACAATAGCCTGCAGTCTGAAGAGATGGTGAGAAAATTAAAATCACAAGCTGAAACAGTACATCAGATCACCTACAATACCTCTCCCACAGTCATCTTCCATCCTCCTAATAAATTTACTTTAAAGCAATTGATGCTTTTGCTTGTATATTTCACAAGGCAAAAACACTCTTTCAAAGCCATAAAGTACCCAGACAGCATCTAGTCAGGAATGAGTCAACACCAAAGCAAGTGTGGAAAAGGATACTGTTTCATGACTTCTTTATACTTCACAGTGTCACGAATATCTGAGGGAAGAAGAAAAGGAATTAACCAGAATTTAATACATATGAAACAATATAGTTTGAGACTCTCCACCTATAATACCCTAAGCCAACAGGTCTCTCAAGTCTTCTCTGTTTCCTATGAGGAAAAAAATAAGTTTTCCTCTTGATATATGAGTTAATTTTCACATCCATTTTCTAAGCTTTTAAACTAAGATTATTGAATTGTGACAGGAAAAGAAGCAAGACCATTAGGAGAAAGAATAGAAGGGCAAAAGGTGCCCTGAAAGCACTTTCCCTACAAGCAAGAAAGTAAAACTAGCCTTTTAGGGCTTCTCTTGTCAGCATTCTCTTCTACCAATTTTTCCACCTTCACACTGGTTTCCTTCCTTTCAAAGGATAACTGCCAAGTAACCCATGAAGAATGTTAGAATAGGAGCTCTTAAGTTATGGTAGAGATGGTCTAAGACAAGGTAAAAAGTTTTAGATAACCTGAATATTAGTGGCCATATGCATAGAAAAAGGGAACTAAAAATCATGAAAAAAAAAAAAAGCTTATTTCTTATTAATTGCCTACTGGTGACAAAGACAATGCAGACATGATTTTTAAAAAGGAATCAATCTGTCCAGTAATATCTACTTAAACCTATCCATCCATCTATAGACTTCCCCCATCAACTCTCAAATTCCATCCTTTAAGTGAGACTATGGGAAATTTTTTCCCAAACTCTTCCCCAAATTATCTCTGCTTCTTAATACAAGGTCTTCCTTTTATTAGTATGTTTGGGGTACAAGAAGCTTAAGAGGATTAGCACACAATGATGGCCTGGAAATCAGGAAGCCTAGATCCTATCAAGAATTATGACACTGGAGCACACGCATTCTAATGTATTTTACAGTCACAAACTCTTCTTAAAAAACTCCTTCGATGAAAATTGGGAACCTCTCCTCAGAACAATGCACATATGCATATATACACACATTTTCCATGTAACTTTTGGAAGAAGGCCTCTACATATCAGTGAGTGAATTACAGCACAAGAACACTTATACTCTGAACCTTGAAGGAAAAAACCAAATGAAAACGGTTTAGGTATCAGAGTCTGCTGAAGGGTTTATGGCCTAGAAGTGAGAGTACTGGCTTTCTGTCACTTCACTTTCCCAAATGACAATAGCCAGCCACTCTAGGGGCATAAAGAGGGGAGAGATAAAGGTGAACGGGAAGGAAATAAAGAAATTGAGGAAAGGAAAAGGAATAAACTGAGAGAAAATGTGAATAAGGAAGAAGCCTGTTTAGGGACTCAAGCAAATCCAAGGGGTTTTTCCTCAGAATAAAGTACATAGTTTAGAAAAAATGAAAACTGAAGTCACTGAAGACTGGCAGGCTGGAGGCTTTTCCATTCTCTTTGAAGCACTTCACATAGGTCACAGTACGGTTTACTCACCAATGTTGGCAGGAAAGGGGACTTCATGCACAGCTGGGTCCAGGTTGATCACATAAGGTGGGGAGCCTTTGCTATGCAGGTGTCCCGTAAGCCTCTGCAGAGATGTGGGGACAGGGTTGGAGGGAGACGAAGAGGTGACGAGAGAACTTCCATTCCTTTATAGACTATGCCTGAAGTCGTTTGCACTTAGATTTCCCTTGATCACATAAGGTGGGGAGCCTTTGCTATGCAGGTGTCCCGTAAGCCTCTGCAGAGATGTGGGGACAAGGTTGGAGGGAGACGAAGAGGTGACGAGAGAACTTCCATTCCTTTATAGACTATGCCTGAAGTCGTTTGCACTTAGATTTCCTTCTACCTGCAATATCCACCCCATGTCCACCTCCAACATTCAACTGTCAGTTCAAGTGCTACCTTTCTTTATCACCCATCTAACAGAATCTCTCCCACTCTATCAAGTATTTACTTGCTTTGTATGTACGTGTGTGGGTTTTTTCTACCTCCTCCGCTAAAACATTTGCTTCATGAAAGAGAGAACCTCGTCTACCTCATTTTCGGTGTATCCCCAGTGCCTGGAACGTGGCAGACGCGCAAGAACTAATCCTCTGGCAAATCTTCACGGAAAACCTGTGTGCCGGCACCGTACTCATCTCTAGGGCTACTCCTAAGTCCCTGCCTTCAAAAAGCTGGCACTTTTATCAGCAAGACCATTCCAGCACAACGTGGTAAGCTGCACCAAGTATGCACTGAGGGCGGCAGAAGAAAGCCTTAATTAACCCAGGCTAGGGTCCGAGAAGGCTTCTCCGAGGAAGGAACCGGTGTAGATGTCCCCGAAAGCCACGCGCCGGCACCCTCCACCTCCCCAAAGGAGACCTCCCGCCCGGCACCGACAACCTCTCGTGCGCCCCTACTGCGCCCGTGCCCGAGCGTCACCTGCACAAAGGTAGTTTTCCCGGATCCCGCCATTCCCAGCACCAGCAGACACACTGGGGGCCGAGGACCCCCAGAAGCCTGCGGCTCCGCGGC